GAGCCGACAAACAGCTGATCAGCTGTTTGTCGGCTCAGCGCGGCAACCATGTAAATGTAAATGAAGCGGCGATTATTTAAATGGACGCTTCATTTCCCTTTGCCCAATAAACAAATCTACATGGCTCCGTCGATGGAGCCATGTAGTGTAGACGTACCCTTAATGTCTACACTCCTGCTAGTGAAAATGTTTTGTGCCTGGGAGGATGGAACAGACACCACAAACTGGCATCAAGCAATGACATCCAACAAAACCACTTGATTCCCCTATGGGGGGGGACCTATGGAAACATCTGGATACCCCTGAGGCATGTACATGGCTGATGACGAGGGGTGGGGCAGAGGTAGCTGCCCCATGGCTAGTGGCTGTTGAAACTGAAATTGAAATCCCAGTGGCGTGGACTGGGCAGCTCGGAAAGCCTGGCTAAGGCAGGTTGGCTCCCCACCATGCCCCTTCCACCCAAGGTCTACCCCTTCCAGAGGCCGAGAGCAGGCCCCTAACCCTGCCCCAAGGCCCGACAATTCGGGCAGCAGCTTTAGACACAAAGGCTGCATCTAGACTGGCAAGTTCTTCTGCAAAAGTGGCCGCTTCTGCAGAAAAACTTGCTAGCTGTCTACACTGGCCGCTTGAATTTGCGCAAGAACACTGACGATCTAATGTAAGATTGTCAGTGTTCTTGCGCAAATACTATGATGCTCCTGCTCAGGGATAAGCCCTCTTGCGCAAATGCTTTTGCGCAAGAGGGCCAGTGTAGACAGGTAAAAACTGTTTTGCACAAAAAAGCCCCAATGGCGAAAATGGCGATTGGGGCTTTCTTGCTCTAAACCGCTTCTAGATTGGCACGGAAGCTTTTCCGCAAAAGCGTCCATGCCAATCTAGATGCTCTTTTCCGCAAATGTTTTTAACGGAAAAACTTTTCCATTAAAAGCATTTGCAGAAAATCATGCCAGTCTAGATGCAGCCATAAGGTGTTTGCATTCATGGCTGGCATAGTCCCCAAGAGCCAGATCCAGCTGCTCTCTCTCCACTGTGCAAGGGCAGTTGGATGCAGGAATGGGGATGCACACTGAATACTTATTATGGAATCCCGTGCTACCAGGTCTCACAGCACACTGATGGACAATGCAAATCCGGTGTGTGGTTCCAAGGGGAGGCTGGTGTGTAGAAAGGATAGCTGAGGAATTGGATTACACACAGGATGTCTAGGCTCTTGTCTCAGCCTTGCCACCAATTTCCTATGTGACCTCAGGCAAGTCACTTAATCACTTTGTGCTTTAGTTTCCCATCTTTAAAACAATGGAAACAACCTCTACATGACAGCACTACTGTATGTATAAAACCATTAATAGCTGTGAGATGGACACATGCTACTGCAATGGGGACATAGAAGCACCTAACAAAGAAAAGAAGTTCTTTTTCTATTCTTAGAGCTCACTGAAAATGTGGCCCTTCATCTTAGGAAGGGTGTTTTGATTAAATAAATGCCTTGTGCTAAATGGTGAGATTTCTTCTACAGATGTCTCTCTTAATCCCACGTTTTCTGCATGTGATAGTGTCTAGGGGTATGTCTACACTACCCTCCTAGTTCGAACTAGGAGGGTAGTGTAGACATACCCTGATATTCTTAGAGCTCACTGAAAATGTGGCCCTTCATCTTAGGAAGGGTGTTTTGATTAAATAAATGCCTTGTGCTAAATGGTGAGATTTCTTCTACAGATGTCTCTCTTAATCCCACGTTTTCTGCATGTGATAGTGTCTAGGGGTATGTCTACACTACCCTCCTAGTTCGAACTAGGAGGGTAGTGTAGACATACCCTG